CTCCGGCCACAGCAACCAACAAGCCGGGACAGCCCCCTACCCTTGGGCAGCCAGGGGCCTCCCAAGACAGAAAGCCTAAGGGTCACAAGGCGCACGGGGAGGACCACCCATGGTGGGTCTGGACATGCGGGAGGCAGCTCTTTGTTCAGGATGGCCCCTCTCCTCTGAGGACTCGGTTTATCTCCCCGACGCTGAGCATTGTCCTTCCCCTGAGAGGTCTGGGGAGGGGAGAGGCTGAGACGTGACAGGCCCTGTGTTCCTCCGGGCAAGCAGGGGCCCGAGGGGTCCGGGGAGGGCTTGTGAATCCACAGCCATGAGCTGAGGTGGCTGCAAGGATGGGGTGCAACAGGGAAGATGGTGCTGGACTGACGTCTGGAGGGTTGTTTCCTCCAAATCTGCTCCCACATCCCCAGAGGCACCTCTGTCAAAACCACTGGCGGCATCTTGTCCTGAAGGTCCCTGGTGGCAGGGGCTCCTAGGCTGTGTCTGCACCTCCCCGTGTCCACGCCGGGGGCACCCCCTCAGCAGCCCCACTGACCCACAATGCAGGTAATGGTTGTCTTGCCCATTGGGGACCGGCCACCCTCCGGGACAGGCCTGCAGCCTGCTATAGTCCCTCCCGGCAGCCCTCCTCCCCAGCCACCCTTCTGCGGTGACGTCCATTCTGCATGGGCTTGGCTGCAGTTAGCAGATGGTTGGCGCTGTCATGTCCCCGGGTGCCCGATGGCGGCGGGCGGCTTCCCCAGAGCCCTGTGCCCTCCTGGGGAAGCCATTCTAGCTAATACACATTGGGGGACGCGACCACCCTGGGAATTACCGCGAGTTTCCCGAAGGCTAAGTGAATGGGAATTCCCCTAGAATAACGTGTGGGAATCAGGAACCCAGTTAAGGTGGTAAAGGCACATCGCTGTCACCTGCTACTTGCCCATCAGAGCCCCTCCCTTGCTCAGCCCTTCCCCCCCACCCTGCGTTTCTCTTGGTAGCTGGTAGGTGGCTGCAGTTATGCACACGTGCACACGCGTGCACATGCGTGCACACTCGCATGCACACACACACTCCTAGCCGTTCGCGGTCGTTTACAAAGCGTTTGCATGGATGGGCGGGTGAGTGCGCGAGCGAGGACGGAGCGGAGGACCGCCGCAGGAAGACCCTCCGTACACGAGTACAGACTGGGAATTTTATGCCCCAACTACTCAGAAGGTCAAGGAACAGGCCTTTCGAGCCAGAAAAATCTGCCACCCCAGCGGCAGTTACCGTAAAGTAACCAACACAGAGGAAGAAAGTGAGAGCAGGGCACGGAGACACAGGGAATAAGATACAGAAAGAGGGTGGCCAGCTCCCACACATATAGGGGCGCCCGGAATCCACGGTCCCAGGCGCCCAGGCGTTCCCGGCACTGAGCAAACCCACTTCCGCCTGCGCACACATCAGTCCTGGGAGGAAGGTGGTATTCTTTGTGCTTTCCAGGAAATCAATTCCACTCTGTGAGAACTGAGACATGCCCGGGAAGGGTGTGCGGGGCAGATGCGCGGGCATGTGGGGACAGGACGTGGTGGGGCTGCAGGGCACGGCCTGTGGGTCACGGGAAGAGCATCATTCACAGTGGGAACCCCAGCCAGTCTGAGCTGGTGCGGCAGTCGGAGACACAAACACTCCACGGCTGCGCACTGTGCCCTCCGTGTGCCCCGGAGTCAGGAACGTCCACCTTGGGGGCTCCAGGCTGGCCTGCAGGCCAAGCTGACAGTGGGAAGCGGAAGACATGGGCATGGAACAGCATGAGGGCTCAGACACCATGTGCTACCAGGACTCAGAGGAACAGGGACTGCGGGGGCTGCAGCCTCCGTTCACAGGGAGCTAAGGACAGTATAAGGGTGAGGCTGACAGGGAGAGGGGTTCCGGAGCCAGATGCTATCCCGACTGCCACGGGAGGGGCCTCGACTCCAAAGGGCCTTCGCAGCCGGACACACACGCGGGGTAGCCTGCATGTCAGTCACCAACATAACTTTCCCCTCTTCCCAGTAAAACACTGGTGGAGATGGAGACTTAGAAGAAACCTAAAATTTAGGTCTAACAGTCAATCCATTGCCATTCCGAACCACAAAGTTTGTAAGCCTGGATGGAGGAGCCCAGAGGCAGATATGAGACCCCATTGCTCCCCGCCACTGCCCGGCCTGGATTCTGAAATACAAAATCCACAGCAACCCAGAAAAATGGCAGCTCCACTGAGCAGGAAGGAACCGTGCTTCTTCTAGCCTGTCTTCTCTCCGCACGCACCTGCTCACAGACTCCACGCCCAAAGCCGATGGGGCAGGCCGCAAGAGGCGGCGGGAGGAGGGACACAGGTTGGGGAGCCCCGGGAGCCGTGGCGCTGAGCACAGGACTTCGATACACTGGAGAACAGGCTGGGGAAGACACTCGTCATCCAGCCGCTAGAAGTGGGAATCGGGCTGGCAGAGATGAGTCCGAAAGGAAACCTGACACACAGGTGAGTGAGCAGGGGGGCCATGTCCCTCTGTGGACACATGCTTTGTCCAGGCGAATCCCTGCCGCCTCGAGAAGGAGTAGAGCAAACCCCAAGCAGAACCTGTGAAGCATGCTGTGGGACACGGGAAACATCCATCACCCTGAAGACTTAGACAATGTCCCACTCTCGGCAGGAGGTTTTCTACAGAAACCTAAAGGAAAGCTAAGAAATCCACTCTGTAAAAGATAGGACCTCAAAAAGCAGAGCTGAGAGAAAACAGTCTAGGATGAAGACAACAGGTCTTGCATGGACGATGAGAAAATCCTACAGTGAAATCAAACATACAACAGGAGTGTTAAAATTCACATGGGTGCCTGATATCACCCCATGGATGGCTTGCTAACCTCAGAGGGGAAATACATCTTTACCACAGAGGACCCAATGCTTCCTGCCCTGACACTGAAATCACACTGAGAAGGTCGCCTGCAGACCTAGCTCCCCGTTACAGCAAATACAGGGGCAATGGGATAAGCTAAACACACCGAGAGGAAACAATCAGACGAATCCCGAATGTGGGACAATGTACATGTAACATCCTGGAAAAGCGTGGGGAGCAAGGGGCTGCTCTGGGCGAAAGACTAAAGAGGCCAAACGTCAGAAAGTGATGTGTTAACTTCGACCACGCACGGAACTTGGGGGAAAGGCCCTGGGGGGACAGTCAGGGAAGTCTGAATATGACTGGTTATTGGATACTGGGGAATTATTGTTAGTTTTTAGGTGTGACGTAGTACTGAGATTATAAAAAAGAGAACTTCCTATTAAGAGATGTGCACGCTGAAGTCCTTCAAGGCAGCATGTTACAATAGTTGCAATTTGTTTTCAGACAAGTCCATATTTTAAATACACATATATTATAACATTGTAAAACATTGACGATTATGGAATCTATGTGATGACTGCTGTATTATTCTTGCAGCCTTTGCATTTGGTAACTTTTCACAATAAGAAGTGGGGGGAAGCCACATTGTGTGAGTAAAGGGCAGAGCTAACTGTTACCTACTACTAAGCCAGCAAGGTGAAGACGCCTCCAGGAACACTTCCGGGAAGCGAAGGGAAGAGCAAAGACATCAACGCTACGAGTCTGAGGCAGTAGGTGTGAGACAGAGCCTCAGGTGCGAGTCAGCAGGTGGGACAAGGGGGAGTCTTACCTTCTGAGGAGCAGAAATGAGAGAGGGGCGCCTAGGTGGCTCACTCAGTCAAGCATCGGCCTCTTGATTGTGGCTCAGATCATGGTCTCCGGGTCCTGGGATCCAGCCCTGCACTGAGCCCTGCATGGGGCGCCACACTGGGCGTGGAGTCAGCTTGAGATTCTCTCTCCCTCTGCCCCTTCTCCCGCCCCTGCTTGCTCACTCGCTCTCTCTCATTAAAAGGAAGGAAGGAGGAAAGAGAGTGGAGCCCCAGCATGGGAATGGGAGGTGTTCCTGGAGAAGACGTTGCAGCAAACAGAAAGGATCGGGAGCAGAATTAACACAGCCTACAGCCGAAGTACAAAAGCGCAGTCTGGATTCCAGGGAAAAGCAATTGACCCATTTCTAGAAAACTTCTGGAAGTAGTTTTCAATTATAAAGAAATGCAAGAAAATACTATAACCATTCCCAGAAAAGGGAAAAATTTACATTTGCATTATGAACAAAGAAATGGATTTTATGTTACAGACTTCTAGGCAATGCTAAGTATTTTCTTAGTTACCTCCAGCGCGCTTTGAGTGAAGGAAGAATTCAAGAATACTATTCCCAGCCAAATTACTTGTGATATGTGATATAAAAATATTCTGTATAAAAATGTTCTTATATACGGGCATAGAAAACATAACATTTTGGGGAAAAGTTACATAAACCTATGTCCCATTCAACCAAGAGCTAAATTTGGAACACGAGACTGGTGAAGGCACATACAAATGTATTTATGGGTCCTCTCTCGCTGGATCTGGACCCCAATTTTACTAATGTAGTCTGATTATGGCTTCCCAGAGCAAAGCGTGACCGCGCAGAGTCCCCTCACCTGTTCCTCCCCCGGCGTCTGCGTCCTTTCCAGCGCCAGCCGGTGTGACGTGGGGCGCACGCACCACTCGCGGTTGGAGGCCCCTCTCCCCGTGGGCGGCGTGGAGCGGATGCACCGCCCGCGGTTGGAGGCACCTGTCGCCACATGAGGCCTAGGGCGCACACACCACACGCACCGCGCGTGGTCGGAGGCCACTCTCCCCGTGGGCGGCGTGGAGCGCAAGCACCGCCCGCGGTTGGAGGCACCTCTCCCGTGCTCATGGGCCCTGAGAGAACATTGTTTTCTCCAGCGACCATGAGTAGCAGTAAACCGTTGGGTTGGCGGAGGGTTCTGCCAGGGGGGTTTACCCAAGAACCTTTTTTGGCTTTGTCAGATACAGCTACACAATACCGAGGAAATTTAATAGTAATTTTTCTACATCGAGAGTGGTACAGTATTTTTGTTTTATTTTTAAAAAATAATACAATACCAGGAAGCAAATATTATTAGTCTCTGTATCATCTTCCACCTAAAGTGTGTGGATATCCTTTTATGTCAATTATTCCTTAAAAAGAGCATAAGCAGTGTGGCCCTGACAATGCAGTACACGCACACACACAGCTCAGGAGAGGAGGAGTGAGAAGACGAGACGAACATGAAGCTTATTCCCCAGGATGCAGAGATCCCCTCCAGGGGCATATGCACGGGCCCGGGAAGTTTGCTTTGATGGTGGCGCATGCGCACACAGGCGGACACCGCCCCTGGTAGCGGTAAATTTCCCACCCACGTGGCCTTTGTTTTGCTGAGTGACAGCTGCAAAACCAGGTGGTGGTTGCATTGCTGCAGAGCAGAGCATTCGGGAGGCTAAATGGGAATGCTATTCGCTAACTCCCGTTCTGTGCCGGACGCCGTTCTAAGCAATCAAGGACAAACAGCTCGGCGCGGCGGGTACTATTATGATCCTCACTTTACAGGTGAGGGAAAGTGAGGCGCAGAGAGGTTAAGTAACCATCCGAGGCCCTACGGCCAGGAAGTAGCAGAACGTGGGGCTCGAGCCAGGCCCGTGGCTTCACTGCCCCGCGCTATGGAGGCCGCTGCCGGTGACCGGCAGAGGCGCGTCGGACAGGAGTGCTGGCACATTTCTCACGGTGGCATTCCCGGTCCTGTCTTCCAACAAAATGTTTCATAACATAGTCCATTCTCCTTAAGGCGTGGTAACGTTGAATTTGTTTCGTGGTTGCAAGGAGGTGCCGTGTATGGTGTGTGCGTGCGTGTGTGTGCACGTGCATGCGTGTGCAGGAAGAATGTGGGCACGAAGGAGAATCTCGATAAGTTTTCCTGCTTTACGTTGTCATTTTCTGTAATATTCTGCAGTGAATATGTGCACTCTTACAATCAGGAGCGAAGATTGTTTCTTAAAAAAAGTCACCCAATTTTGCCATTGCCACATGATGACTGCATAGCCAGTAGCTTGGAAAGGAAGTCATCCGAGTGTTAGCAGCGCTTATAACTTGGATAGGTGACGAACCCACGTGGTCCCTTCCTTGCTCGCAGTACTGGAGCTTCCAGCCGGACAGTAGCCAAGTGCCACCTTTGAAATGGAAACAATCATTTTAAAAGAAGAGTCATGAGCTCTTATCGAAGAGGAGGGACGTGAAGACAGCAGGCTGGGGGTTTGCCTGTGGCTGGAGGCGAGAGGCTGGGTTGGGGCTCGGGAGGGTCTAGCCACACAGAGACCCCTCCACTTAGTCGTGTGTTCAAAGCAGCCACGGGCTGACCACAGCGAGGGGCTTGGATGGAGTGGGGTGCTCCTGCACTAAGCAAGTGCACGGTGGACACAGCCAACTTCACACGGTGTCAGGGTGTGTGAGGGAATGAGTAGCACACTGACCAGGCATCGTGGGGCGGGGAGGACGGAGTCCTGCTCCAGGTGAGAGGCAGGAGGGGCAGGGGCAAGAGTCGAGTTTGGAGGCTATGAGGGGGACAGGGACAAGGAGAATCCATCGGAAGACTTGAAGTAGTGGGATTCCCGAGAGACCTGACACAGAGCTGGGCGGGGTCAGCCTCTGGTGGTGGTGACGGCGGCAGGCCCGACTGCGGCAGGACCTGGCCGATAGAGAACCAGCCCAGCTGTAACCCACGTGCCCTACGCTGTCTTGTGGCACTCACATCTGTGGCACTCACCCTGTGGCCTGCGTGTGTGTGCATCACGGTCCTGTGACAGGTGGGGCTTCTCCACTCCCACATCACCATGACGACAGCCACGTGGTCCCACCACCAGCAGGCTTCGAAGTTTCAGGCCACGTGCTGTTTTAATCCTGACAACAGCCTGGTAACACGGCTATTATCACCCTTCCACTTCACAGATCAGGAACTGAGGCTTCGACAGAAGCCCATCCCGGGTCGCAGAGCTGGGCTTCGCACACGGGGCTGGCAGGTCTGGAGCCCACAGCGCTGCCACGTAGAGATTCGGTGAACACCTGTCAACGAGGGACGGAGAAGAGGAGGCCCTGGCCCAGGGCCGCACTGACCGGACAGCAGGGACCTGCTGCCAGGAGGCAGGACGACCCTCTCTGTGCGCGGGAGCCTCGGGAGCTGCGGGAGGAGGAAGCCGGCGCCGCCACGCCTGCAGTGGGAAGGCCGACCCAGGTGGGGAGCTGGCGGCTCTGGGTCTGACCCGATCCAGGTGACCCACTGTGTCGCAGAGCATGGCCCGGAGGCCGAATCGTCAGCACCTGCCAGCACCTTCTGGGACAAAGGGAGTCAAGACAAACACCGTTCACCATTGAGTGCGGCCGAAGAATGTTCTCCAGCTTGCATGTTGAGAAGAGAAGCAAGGACTCAGGGTCCATCTCTACCCCTTCCCTGCCCAGAAGAGGAAGGGAAAAGGAACATCTCACCTTCTCACGTTCTCAGGACTGGAGTTGCCAGGAAAACGTCTCCCCTGGACACACCCATGGTGCCTAGGAGCCGGGAGGTTAGGGAAGCGTGCACGACCCAGCACCACCACCCACGCATCCCTGCAGCCAAGCCTGAAACTGCGGTGTGCGGGCACAGGTCATGGGGCCACCCGCTCAGGCTGAGTGCTGGGCGCTCACTGGCCCCCCATGGGGGGAAGGCATCCACCTTGACGGGGACCTGGGGGATGGAGGGGGAGGGTGAGGAAACAGGGCCCAGGAGAGAGTGGCCCCGTCATCCGTCATCCTGGGGCCAGGGGGCCCTGGGTCTAAAGTCCATGTCTGGGCCTCTGGTGGAGAGGAGAAGAGAGAGGCTAACTGCACACAGCTCCTGGAAATAAAAAGCTCTGCTTTGGCAAAAAGAGGAAGGTGGTGAAGAAAAGGGGAAGGAGGAGGAGGGGAGGAAGAGGCTCTGGAGATCCAGTGGGGGCGTTTCCGAAGGCTGGGAAGCCGGAGTCCAGCACAGAGGGATGGGCGATGTCCACTTACATAGGGCAACTTCCTCTCTGAAGAGGGAGCACCAGCCAGAGGCTCTTCCAGAGCTCAGGGCTAAACTGGGAAGGCACAGGCTTCACGGGCTCCTGAGCTTGCAGGTAATGCCCGTCCTGGAGAGCCATGAATAAGCTCGTCCAGAGTCTGCTAGACATGCTTTACTCCTCAGACATCTGAGACCCGTAGCAGACAGCCGTCCCAGCTACCGCCCCGTGCGTCCCCTCCCCCAGCCCCCCCACAGGGTCTCCCAGGACTTGCAGATTACAGGGCATGGCAGGCAGCATGGCGGTGGCTCCACAGAAGCCCAGAGGCCCTTGTGGGCCGCCGCAGAGAAAGTCCCTGCCCTACGGTCCCCAGGTGCGGCTGCTAAGGGTGCAATGAAGCCACACGGCTTTCCACCAGCCTCAGCTCACTCTTCCTGCCGGCGCTGACGGAGCACTTGCCGCAAGTGGTACCCAGAGCCAGGCCAGGGATGGAAAGGTGCAGATAAGGCTGCGTGAGGATCCCCGACTGCTGGCTGAAAACAGCTCCCGCGTGCTGTCCCATGGCTTCCTGGGTCAGAAATCCCTGCTCCGGTCTCACAAACCTGAAACCGCAGTGTCCACCAGGCTGCGTCCGTTTCCGGAGCTTGGAGTTGTTGGCAGAGCTTGGTCTCCCAATCCTAGGGTGGAAGCCCCCAGGGTCTTGCTGAGTGGTGGGGGGACCACTTGCGCTCTGGGGGCCATCCTCAGGTCCTGGCCACGTGGCCCTTCCATGAGGCAGCTCACAACGTGGCTGTTTGCTTCTTCAAGGTCTGCTAAGATGGAGTGCTATAGACATGACCTGGTCACGGGATAGACGACCCATGGGCATCACCGGCCTCCCACATGGGGGCGGGTGCGCTGGGCGTGGACATCTTAGACACCTGTCGGGGATCTGCCAGCATAGGGCGTTGCCGCCGGCCACATCCTGTGGGACTCTTCACTCTCCTTGGTATTTAATTTCTCCCCTACCTTCTTGAGAGCCACACGATGATGACCTTCCTAAGTTCCTCTTTCTCAGTTTTCCTATTTTTCTGTCCACTTACTGTGAGTCTTCCTCTCTTAGATAATTCTGTAATGAGAAATATCGTGCACACACATAAAACACAGCAGCATTTTGTGATGAGCAATCATAATGCAAACACCGTGGGATGGGATGCAGAACGAGGCCCCGCCCTCCGAGACCAGTGGGGGCCCTTCCCAGTGGGGCTGCCTCCCTCTGGGCCCCTGGCTTCCACAGTGAAGTTGGCCTGGCCGTGTAAAGCCATCTGTCGGCTCTTGACATACATACACCCTGACAGCACAACGTGGCCTTGCCTGTTTTGCATTGTATATAAGTGAAATAATATTCGTCTATTCTCTTGGGCCATGATATATATAGATGTATATATCTTTTGCTCAACATATGTCTTCACGTTTTATCCATGTTGTGGGATAGAGTCATAGCTCATTCCTTTTCGATGCTATCGAACACTCCGTTGTATGACTGTTACTGATCTGCAGTTTATTTGTCCATCCTACTTTTGATGGACATTAGGGTGATTCTCAATTTGGTGATTGTATTGGTTACCTATTTCCGTATAACAAATCATCCCCAAAACTTAGTGGCTTAAAATAACCAGGACTCTGGGCCTGGCTGCCTGGGTCCTTCGGCCCCGGCGCCTCCCACAGCTGCTGTCCAGACGCTGACCGAGGCCGGGATCATGCCAGCGTTCGCCTGGACTGAATTCACGTCCACCTTTCCTCGGGGGGTTGTTGGCAAGACTCACTTCCCATAGGCTGTTAGACTAAGGCTTCAGATCATTGCTGGCAATTGGCAAGCGGTCCCCCCTGCACCCCCTGCCCTGGGGACGCAGCCGCGGGGCAGCACTGCAGCTGGCCTCCTAGGAGGGCCAGTGAGAGGGCCAGAGAGCAGGTGTGAACAGGTGGAAATCACGTTATTTTGTGAGTTAATCTCAGGAGTGTCACCTGTGCCACATTCTGTTGGTGAGAAGCACATTGGTGGTCCAACCCACACCCAGAGGAGGGGTTGCAAGGAGGAGAGAATGCCGGGCAGTGAGAATCACTGGGCGCTATTGTAGAAATTGTCTACCATAGTGCCCGTGTGTCCTGCAGTGTGTGCGAGCTCCCAGCCATACCCTGGCAGGCATGGAATTTCTGGGTGTCAGGGGACGTGGATCTTCAGCTGTCCCAGAGAATGAGTGCCCGCTTCCCCAAGCGCCCACGCCAACTCACATTCCCACTGGCAACACGTGCGAGTTTCTGTTGCTTCATACCATCACCAACGCTTGTTATCACCAGATTTCTTACTTTGGGTCAACATGATTATGTGAAATATGGGATCTATGAGGGTTTGATTTGCGTTTCTCAGATCACGGATGAGGTCTGGCACTTTTCATTTATTCAGTGGTTGCCGGGATTTGCTCGCTTGCGGAGGGAGTATCTGCCTGTATCTTTCGTCCGTTTTCCTATTCTTTTCCTACTGATCTGTGTGCCTTCTTCATATAATCTGGATTCTTGCTCTTTGGAGGTCATCAGAATTACAGGCATCTTCCCAGTTTTCTTTCCTGCTTTTTCACTCTTTAAATGATATCTTTGGATGAACAGGGGTCTTATTTTAACATAATTACATTTAACAGTCTTTTCTTTTGCAAACTCTTACTCCCTTTCCTGGGCCTTGACTTTGCCTGTCTTCTAGATGCAGTTTTTCACCAATGTCTCCAGCTGTCACTGCTGTCCTGATGCCTCCCGGCCTGTCTCCACGTAGGACTCCAGCTGTCTGCCGGATGGTGCCACCGGCCCATCCCACAGACAGCCCCACACCAGTGCACCCCATACTAAGCTCAACCCACCCTTCCGAGTCCACCTTCTGCCATGCTCCCACCCGCCCTGTGTTTCCTGATTCCATGGCTGGCATGCCCCCCATCAGAGAGTCAGGGTGACGTCCTTGGCGGGGACCACATCTGAGCCCTGCCCCCATCTGTCTTCTCTCTGTCTCCGGAGCCAGAAGGGAAGTTCTGTGACATGGGGACCTTGTCCAGCTTGTTTATCGTCGTGATATCAGTTCAGGACAGTGCTGAAGTGTTCTGGAGCCCAGGGACCCACGTTCAGATCCTCACTGATCAGCTGTGGGAGCACCTGGAAGTAACATAACCTCTTTCTCTTCAGTTTGCTCATTTGTGAAATGGGGATGGCAGTCGTCCTGATCTGTAGGGTTTCGGTGAGGATTAAATCCATTAATGCACTTATAGAATGGAGCAGAGCACATGGTAAGCACTCAGCTATGGGTATTACATCCTACCCACCCTGCATGGTGCTTGGCTCATAAAAGCATAAAGACACTGGCTAACATGAATGAGCAGCACATCCCAGGAGGGTGTGGGGAAGGGAGGGACGCAGTGTTAGGACACCCAGGGACTCCCAGAGCCCTCTCCTCGGTGCTGCTCCTGGCTCCAAGGGACACAGCCCCTGCTCTGTGGTCCTGTCTTTGGACAGATGAGGTCACTGGGGCAGTGACAACTCCCATGTGAATGGCCAGAACCTCTAGGTCTTCTCACATGTGGCCCTCGAGTGAAAGCTCCCTTTCTCTTTCTTTGTGGCCCAGGAGGAGCTGGTGATCAAAGTCTTTGCTGCTCAGAGCCGAGGACTGTCACTTGATTTGTCCATTAAAATCCAGAGTAGCAGGGATGCCTGGGGGGCTCAGATGGCTAAGCATCTACCTTCTGCTCAGGTCATGATCTCAGAGTCCTGGGATGGAGCCCCGCCCGCCCCTTGCTGCTTTGAGTCTCTCAAGAGCTTGGAAATCTGGCTGGAGGTTTGGCCAAGGGGAGGGAGCACTGAGCGGGGAGTCCAGCGAGCTCCTCCTCGCCAGCTCGGCTGTGCCTTTGGACGGTTACCCAGGTCTCCTTTGCACCATGGCAGGAGGGTCGGCTGTGCTGGCCTGGATGAGCCCAAAGACAGTCCTGGGGCAGCCCCTTCCCGTCGGCTCGAGGGAGCGTAAAGCTCCCAGCACCCATGCGTCCCAGCCTCCCGCCCCCCAAGCCCACAGGTACCCTACATTCTATTTTTTTTAATCATTTTTTTAAAGATTTTATTTATTTATTTGAGAGAGAGAGAATGAGAGACAGAGAGCATGAGAGGGAGGAGGGTCAGAGGGAGAAGCAGACTCCCTGCCGAGCAGGGAGCCCGATGCGGGACTCGATCCTGGGACTCCAGGATCATGACCTGAGCCGAAGGCAGTCGCTTAACCAACTGAGCCACCCAGGTGCCCCGGTACCCTACATTCTTCCTCGTCCCCGCAGCCGCAGAGCCTCTGGGGCGCATTCGAGGGGCCCTGGGGTTGGAGCAGGAGATCCCTCCATCCGTCAATGAACTTAAAGAGGTGACCCGAGCCGCGGGGCGGGGCTGGAAGATGGGCGGGGCCTGCCCAGAGGGACAAGTGGGTGGGGCCTGGACGATAGGAGGTGGTGGGGATGAGGCAGGCAGGTGGGCGGAGCCGGAGCGGCCGGGTTGGACAGGTGGGCGGGGCCGGGGAAGGTGGACGGGGTCGACTGTGTCCAGGGGCGGGGATGGGGCAGGGCGGTGGGCGGGGCCGGGCAGGTGGGCAGGGATGCGGCAAGCAGGTGGGCGGGGCCTGGGCCGGTGTGCGGGCCCGGGGGGTTGTGGGGGGTTGCGGAGGCCAGGCAGGTGGGCGGGGATGAGGCAGGCAGGTGGGTGGGGCCGGATCTGTCCAGGGGCGGGGATGGGGCAGGACGGTGGGCGGGGCCGGAGGGGCCTGCCCACGGGCCTTCCGGGCCTTCCGGGAGGAG